GAAAATGTTCTGGAGATGCATTGTGGTGATGGTTGCACAACTCTGTGAAGGTACTGAAAGCCACTGAACTGCACACTTAAAAATGGCAAAAGTGGTGATATGATTTGGCTATGTCCCCATCCAAATCTCATCTTGAGTTGTAGCTCCCATAATTCCCATGTGTTGTGGGAGGGACCAGGTGGAAGGTAATTGAATCATGGGGACAGGTCTTTCCTGTGATGTTCTTGTGATAGTGAATGGGTCTCATGAGATCTGACGGTTTTATAAAGGAGTTCCTCTGCACATGCCCTTTCTCCTGCCTGCCACTACGTAACACATGACTTTGCTCCTCATTTGCTTTCCGCCATGACTGTGAGGCCTCCCCAGCCATATGGAACTGAGTCAGTTAAACCTCTTTCCTTTACAAATTACCCAGCCTCGAGTATGTCTATATTAGCAGCATGAAAAGATTAATACAAGTGTTAACTTTTGTATTTTGCCATAACTTAAAGAAAAAATAAAAGAGTATATGGTAAGATGTGAAAATAGAGAAAAATGTCTCCTAGGAAGAAACAAAATCCTGTTGCACCATGGGCACTGCCAAACACCCTGTTTTTTCCCAGTGGTAGTGGAGAGAGGGCACTTGGGTCACCAAACATGTAATGAGCACCCACAGTGATGAGCTGGCAGGTGACCTGGAGGATGCAAAGAAACAGATGGCAGAGCTCCTGCCTGCAAGCAGAGCATCCTACAAGAAAGGAAGATAGACACAAAAGTCCATGGCACAAATAAAGAGATGAGTGTCGGCATGAGGTAAGATCACAATGGCTACAGTCTTTTACAGTCATTCAAATGTTATTTCTTTTTACCTGATTAGCTTATTCCATGAAAGGTCAAGGACAGCATCGGTATGCCCTTCTGCTGAGGAACTCTGTAATAATTGTTTTAATTATTTTTTGTATTAAAGTCTCCCCATAATAAAACTGAATATATTAATTTGCAAGATTCTTTAAACCTTAAGATTGTTTTGTTTTGAGATAGAGTCTCGCTCTGTTGTCCTGGCTAGAGTGC